CCTACTATGTGCCAGGCATTGTGTTAAGCACTAGGGATACAAAAAGAGGCAAGGAGCTTAGGATCTAATGGTCGAGACAACACAAATACATACAAACTAGCTACATTCAGGATAAATAGGAAATATTTAACAGAGAGAAGGCACTGGAATTAGAAGTGGTATCGATTTATATTTACCAAATTAAAAGTCAAAACATCTTAGAATTATTATGAAAATGATTTTTACCTTGAAGACACCCCAAAATGGTCTTGGGACTCCTCGATCACACTTCGAAAACCACTGACTTAGTAGATAAATCTTAGAGAGGCCCTCAGGGGCAGTTAAGTGGTGAAGTGGCTAGAGCACCAGCCCTGAAGTCAGGAGGACCAGAGTTCAAATCTGGCCTCAGACACTTACTAATTGTACGATTCTGGAAAAGTCACTTAATCCTAATTACCTTAAAAATGAGAAAGAGAGGGTTCCTGAGACCCAGAGAGCTTAAGGCACTCACCTGTGGTCACCCAGCTAATAAGGATCAGAGGTAGGGTTTGAACCCACGTCTTCCTGACTCCAGGTGCAACACCTCTTCCCTTATACTATGTTGGCCATCCACAAGACTGCTAACAGTGTCAAAATCTGTTGAGTGAGAATTTCAATGTCACCTCTATCTAAAACATTGGAACCTCCTTAGCCTAGTGCCTGGCACATAGTAGGTGCTTAATAAAAATACTCATTCAGTCATGTGAAGGGAAATTACTCAATAACTTATGGTACTTATTATGTATGTATTCTGCCAGAATGCAGCCTCCTTGAGAGCAGGAAACATTTGCGGTGGGGGTGGGGTCTCTGTGAACCAGGATCTTGGCACAGTGCCTGGCTAATAAAAGCATGCCCAGCCAGTGATTTTTATACCCCATCTAGTGGGGTTACTTCTACAACTAGAAAAGGCAGTGGGCCACAGTGGTTAGAGGGTCAGGAAGTCCAGGGGTCAAGTTCCACCTCCAGCTCTTCTTAGCTATGTGGCCTTGGGGAGGTCAGTTAAACTCTCTGAGCCTCAGTCTTTATCTGTAAAGTGGGCGTTACAATACAGGTAGCAGCAACCGTTCAGGATTGTTGAGAGGCTCCAGCAGGGGAAGGTTCATAAAATCTCCTGCCAACCTTCATGGTATCAATATCAGCTCTTGTTCCTTGTGGAAAGATAGGCAGGCTCCCTGCCTCATGACCTGTTTGTGGGCCATACGGGAGTGGGTCCCGTGTCAGGAAGGCAGTGAGAGACGAAGCCCTGGTGGGTGAATTTAGCAGCGAAGGGCTGGGATGATGTAAGTGAGCATCTGAGCTAGAGATCACGGCAAAGCAACACAGAGGAAATACTGGAAGCCTTGGAGCTTGGCCCAGTAATGAGCACAAGGACGATAAAACAGCTTCTAGCACAGCCCTTTCCAGGCAGGGAACAGCAGATCTGGAGGCAGAGAACCGCCCTTTACAAAGTGCCTGGAGCCATGTCATGTCATGTTATAGGACACGTCAAGCCATGGGACATCACAGCACATGTCCTATGTTGCATGGAAGGATCTTTGGAGCTGGAAGGGACCCAAGAGGTCGTTACATCTAGCTTGCCCACTTTTCAGATGGGGACGCAGAGACCCCGAGAGAGGCAGATCATAGATTTAAGGGGTGGGACGGAAGCCACATCACAGAAACCCAGAATATCAGAAGTGGAGGAACTCAAGGTCCTCTGGTCCTACACCTGAGCCAGAATTCCTGCAATGGTATTCCCCCAGTGGGGTCATGTGGCCTCTGCCTCAACATCACTGCCGAGGGGGAACCAATAGTACTCTAGGAAAGACGAGACAGAGAGAAAAATGCCAGGCATGGGGCTGGAGCCCTCGCTACAGCCAAAGTATACCAGTATCCGACTCTGGGCCAGAGAATCCTCTAGGTTAGCTAGTAGGTCAACAAGCATTTATTCCACACTTACTGTATGTGCGTCACTGAGCTAAGCCCTGGGGGGGTACAAAGAAAGGCAAAGACCTAGTCTCTGCTGCCCTCCAGGAGCTCATAGTGGAATGGGGTACCAAGTTCTTTCTGGTGGAGAGAGGTGAGCGGGATGGGATACAATGACTAGACAAGCGAGGTGGGATAGATGATGGAAGTCTGACCTTGACTCAGAGGGCAAAAGGACTGAGCACAGGAGGAGAAACACCCCCAAAGCAGTTTCTATGGCTTGGAGCTGGGACGGAGTAGGAGTGGGACCTTTGGGAGCTGCTGCGACCATCTAGCAAGCTATTTAAAGTGTATGCACTTGGTTGGTGGCAGTATTCATGGACACGAGGCAAAGGTTTGAGAAACATGGCAGGAGCAGAAGAATCTAGCAAGATGGTTGGGTTCCAGAGGCATCAAGGAGGGGCCAGAAGTCGGCACAGACCCGAGTTCAAATCTAGTCTTGATCACTTCCTAGCTACGTGACCCTGGGCAAGTCACTTAGCTGCTGCTTGCCTCAGTTTCCTCATCTGTAAAATGGGCATAATAATAACACTTCCCTCCCAGGGGTCATGGTGACGATCATAATATTTGTCAAGTGCTTTGTAAACTTGGAAGCTATGACTGTTAAAAAATGAATGTTAAAAATTGTCTTTACAGACGATTAAAAAAAGAAAGCTGTGACTGTTAGCTGAGAAGTGGGGACAAGCAGGGACCACAAGTCCCAGAGGGCTGATCTCCACCAGGACCCCAGCCAGGACTGCCTCCCTCCCCGACCCCCGTCTAATAACACCAGCTCAAGGCCAGGGCAGGAATCAGGCTGAATGTTCAGTGTAACCCTCGTTCAGCCTCTCCCCATCCTATCAGCAAAAACAGAACCCATGCAATTTATCAAGAAAGACACAAACGTGTTGGGTGGGGGGTCTGCAACTAGCCCCCCTGAGCCAAGTAACCAGTCGCCTCGACCTTTGCCCACGCAGTGACCTCGGCCCGCCAGCCCTGTTATGACCTACCAGCCCGGGGAAGCATTTTCAACATTCTGGGGGATTTTAGATGGTCTAAGAGACAGCTCTGCAGACACGTGCATTTAGACCATCCTATGAAAGCTGGCATTTTAGGCAGGAGGCTGTCGAATGTCCGATAGCACCCGGCCCATAGTGGGTACTTTAAAATGCTTGTTTTTGTCTGGACAAAATCTTGCCTCAGACATTTTACTACCTGGGTGACCTTGGACAAGTCACTTAGCTACCCCTAGGGCCTCCCTTTCCTTATCTGTTTAAAAAATGAAGGAGGTGAATGAGACGGTTTCTAAGGTCCCTTCCAGCCCTTGATCCGTGTTCTTTTTTACTACCTGTGTGAACTTGGGCAAATCATTTAACCTCTCAGCCTCAGTTTCTGTGATCTATAAAATGGGCATGATAATAGCATCGACTGAAAAGTAGAGGGATATAGGGGAACTAAAATCGGGGTATACCTGAGAGAGTGGGATAGGAAAGGGGGAAGCCGGGCTGGAAAAGGGAGCTGATCCTTTCAGAATTGCCGTGAGACCTCAGGGGCACTGTTCAACCTTAGATGCTTGCTGTTTGCCTCTGGGTAAGTCACGGTCACCTCCCTCTGCCTCAATTTCCTTATCTGTAAAATGGAAATGATAATGGTACCTACCTCCCAGAGTCCTCAGGGAGGCTTTTGTAAAGTACAAACTAATATAATATTATGAAGACAGAGGTTCAAATTCTACCCTTAACGCTTATTGGCTGGGTGACCCTGGGCCAGTCCCTTCATCTCAGCCTCAGTGTCCTCATCTGTAAAATGGGTATCATAACAGCGCCCATCTTCCAGGGTTGTTGTCAGGATCAAAGGAGCTAATACCTGCATTTTGCAAACCTTAAAGCACTATAAAAAACGCCACCTAATGTCAGCTGCCTAACTTTCCAGTTATTATTATCATTCTAATAAAACGTGTGGCTGCCGCAAGTCAAGCTCGGGCCACCCCGCCCCTCCCCCAGGCTCCCAATATCACCAGGGTGAAACTTTTGCATATGACTCAAAATGTCCCGTAGCTTCATGATTCAACACTTGCAATGTCAATAATTTACCGCGAGGCGTGTGTGTGTGTGTGTGTGTGTGTGTGTGTGTGTGTGTGTGTGTGTGTTTTAGGCAGCAGGAGATCCGAGTTCACACACGAGGGGCGGGGTTCAGAGCACCGCTCCGATGCCAGGGGGTGCCATGCCTTTTTCCAGGCAAGGGCTGGGCTTGCTGGAAGAAGCTCTGAATGCCAAAGGTGACCCGGGGCTGCCCTGGCCACAGTGCGGGGGCTCTGCTGCCTGAGGCTCTCCCACATGCACATGTCCCTCTCCTCTAGGGTTACAGGCCTGGCAGCTGCGCTGCCCCCTCCTCCCCCACCCCCCGGAAGGGAGCTGGCCTCTGCTCTCCAGCGCCCCCCAAGAGGCCTGTGGACTGTCGCTGCACCCGCTGCAGCCCTGGCTCTTCCCAAAATAAGCCCATGCAGCCACCCTGGCACCGAGATCATCGCCCTAATAATAAGCACCCTTGCCCAGACTGGCACAAAACAACACTGGCAGGCAGACTTTGCCCCGAGGGCTGGCCACCCTCCTTTTTCTTTTTGTGTGGGACCTGCCCTTGCTAATAATTACTGGAGTGGGGAGGCATGAGCCCCGCAAAAGGATTTTAAGAGCGAGCCTTGCAAACAAAAGGGCACGAAACCAACACAGACAAAAACATGCGCCAGCCAGCAAGACACCTGAAGCCTTCCGAGCCGCGCAGGATTGACAAACTCTCTTCCCCCGCCCTGCTCTGGTCCAGGGCCCCGCCTCCTCAGCCGCCCCGGACCAATGGGAAGGGCGAGGCAGGGCGTTCTCTCCGCCCCTTCCCCCACGTCTCCTGCTCTCTTGGCCACGCCCCCATTCAGGCCACGCCCCCTCCGCTGGGCTCGCGCGCGCTCTCTCTCTCTCTCTCTCTCTCTCTCTCTCTCTCTCTCTCTCTCTCTCTCTCTCTCTCTCTCTCTCTCTCTCTCTCTCTGTCTCTCTCTCTCTCTCTCTCTCTCTCTCTCTCGGCCTGAGCTTCGGCGCGAAGGTCAAATTGCACGAGAGGGTTGATTTGCATCTTCCAATGGGCGCGTTGCATGCAAATGAGGAGGGAGCTGGTTGGCTAGGTGTTGGTAGGATAACTCCGGCGAGCCGGGCTCTTTGTCCTTCACTGGCTGTGGGGCAGCTGCAGTCGGGTGGTGCGGCCAGAGAGGCTAGTAGCCTAGGGAACTAGCGATCCGCCGCCGGCGGGGAGGGGGCGGCGGCGACGGCCCGGGGGGCGGTCTGGCGGGAGCGAGAGAGCAAGAGAGCTAGCGAGCTAGCAAGCTAGCAAGTGCTGCTGCTGCTGCAGCTGGAGCTGGTGCACGGCTCCGGGGAGGAGAGCAGCACAGAGCCCGGGCGCCAGGGACCCGGGCAGCAGCAGGGGCAGGAGCAGCCGAGGCAGGGGCAGCAGCAGGAGCTGCTGCGGCGCACGCCGCGCTCCGGGAGGGAGGGGGAGGGGGAGGGGGACGGGACCTGCCAGTGCAATATGACTTTGGAGGAATTCGCGGCCGGAGAACAGAAAACTGAAGGGTGAGCCGGCCGGCAGTACTGCCCTCTTTGGGAAAGGGGCCGGGGGCTGCGGGCTGGGCTGGTGGGAGGGGACCCCCCCCACCTTTGCCTTAAGCACGAACAGCAGTGGGGGAACGGAAGGTGAGGGGCGACTGGGTGGGCTGGCTGAGGTGCTGCCCCCGGGCATCCAGATGGGAGGAGAGACGCGGCCGAGGAGGTCCTTGCCAGGTCCCGTGTGGCCGTGGCGGGTCCCCAGCCCCCTCCCGCCGGTGGCTTCTGCGGTTTGCAGCTTGGGGTGTGGGTTGAGCTCCGAGGACAGGAAGTGTCCCCGGTTGGGGGGAGGGCGGGGAGTGGGAAATGGCACTTTTCTCACCGGGCCGGTGCGTGTGTGGACTTGGACGTGGGCATGCTTGTGTGGGTGCTTGGGAGGGCAGGGTGGGGAGATGATAACCCTCGTGCGGTGTTGGTGGCGGGGGAGGGGAGTCGGGTTTGCAGAAGTGAATGCCCACCTGCGCCCTGCGCGGCACCCCGGGGATCCCGGGTGGCAGCCTGGCTGTGGAATTGTGTGTAGGGGCACGGGGCTGGGGTGGGGGTAATGGCCGGGCCTGGCCCTGCGCCCTGGGTGTGACTGACGGACCTCCTTCCCTTGTGCCCGCTGTCAGGATGGACAAGGTCGGGGATGCCCTGGAGGAGGTTCTCAGCAAAGCCTTGAGTCAGCGAAGTATCACGGTTGGGGTCTACGAGGCGGCGAAACTGCTCAATGTGTAAGTGGGGCAGGGGGCGGCGCGCACTTGTCTCCCCTCCCCCTCCGCGCCCCACTTTGGGGATACTTGCGTGTTTCCTTTCCTGTTACACTCCCCCTCCTTTGTTAGTCCTTTCTTTTCCAAACTGCTGCTGAGAACTCCACTGTCTTTGTAGCTTTCTGGGATAGGGCGGCTGAGTGCATGCGTGTGGGAGCGAGTGCATGCGTGGTGTGCACGCGTGAACCTGCGTCAGGGAGTTGGCTCGGGCGCCGTGGCCGTGCTCGCCGAGCGCCTGCGAGCGTGTGCATCCCTGGAGCTCTGCGTGTGTCCTTCGTGGTGATGTGGGCTGCACGTGCGTGTGTGGGGGGAGCTCTCCCTGCCCCCTTCCCCAGCCCCTGACCGTCTGGGCGCCCCTCCCGCTGCAGGGACCCCGATAACGTGGTGCTGTGCCTGCTGGCCGCGGACGAGGATGACGATCGGGACGTGGCCCTGCAGATCCATTTCACCCTCATCCAGGCTTTCTGCTGCGAAAATGACATCAACATCCTGCGGGTCAGCAACCCCGGGCGCCTGGCTGAGCTGCTGCTGTTGGGGACAGGTGGCTCGGCGGCCGCCACCGCAGCGGCCGCCTCCGGCGGGGGAGCCGAGCAGCCCCCGGACCTGCACTGCGTCCTGGTGACGGTAAGCCGGCCTGGGGCCCTGAAGGCCGGCTCTGGCCCTCCCGAGGCCTGCTGGAGGGGGAGGGGGCAGCCTCCACCTGATTATCACCTGACTGCAGCCCGGCGAGCGCGGGCACCCAAGGGAGGGGGGGCCTGCCTTTTGCCCCACTTCAAAGGCCGGCTGGACTTTCAACCGAAAGGTGCTGGTTTCATCATCAAGGCTCTGTCAGTACAGAACATGCCCCAACACGTTTGCTTGTCCCCAGTGCTGCTGCAGCCCCAGCCCGGTCGGAAGAGATCCCTAGGCATGAGTCAGCACCCCGAGCTCCCGGTTACCTCCTCCTGTCTGTCCGCCTCCCGTGACTAATTCTTTTAGCAGGGCTGATTAGATAAAGCCAAGTAAATTCCTGGCTCACCCTCATTAAGGAGTCACCTCCATTCTCTGCCAGTCCGAGCTATAAATAGGAACACTGTGGGGGGGGAGGGAAGAGGCAGACGTTGCTAATTCCCTGGAAATCCATTGGGGAGGTCAGTGGAAAATTTCCCTGAAAACTTGCATTTTTTGAAAAAGGGAGGTTTTTTTTTTTTAAACCTTGATGCCTGTTGGAGGGTAGGCAAATCCTGAGTTTGGAGGTAAAGCTCCTAGGAGCTTATATTTGGAGCTGGAAGGGGACCATCAAACCATCCGACTTCATTGATCAGGGAAGGTCTGGTTTCCACTTATTTTTGGCCTTTAAAATATTAATGCTTTTAAAGCTAGCCAGAGAGTAAACAGCTTGGTTTTTTTTTTTCTGGCTGGCTCTTAGGTTGTCCCCTTTTTTCTTTTCTTTTTTTAAGTGCAGCAAGCGATATGTAACTTAACTATTATGAAATCAAGCTGATGCTTTGAATGTGTGAACTCATGCATGTGGCCACTCTACCCCAGTCCTTAAAGAGATGCCATGAAAACACTTCTCCAGATGGCTTCAATAACCATGAAAAATAAAGCCACTGCCTTCAAGGGGCTTACACTCCTTTGGCTTCAGCCAGATCGGCCTTCGTGTGCAAAGAAGGGGGCCACCCTGTGCTCAGTACACGGTTGTGCAAGAGGGTGTCATTCATATGGACACCTAGTTATCACTCATGCAAACCGATGCTTGTGTGTGGCCGGCCTTGTGCTCCGACCGGAGAACGTGGCCTTTGAGATGCTTGGATCAAGTCCAGAAAAAGGAATGATAGTGCATATGTATATAGCATTTTGTAAGGCTGGCTAGAGGGAGGTTGTGGTGGGGGGAGTGGAGTCCAGCCCCGGGATTCTGGAAGGCCGGAGTTCAGATTTCTCCCCCCCCCCGACCCCTCCTCCCCATTAAGAAATTAACATAGGGTTTCTGGGCGTTTCCCCCATAGTAACGCCTCAGGCCAGCAGTGGGGGGTGGAGAAGCCTTATGTTAATTTCACTGAGACTCTTAGTAGGAAATGGACCTTCCCAGGTTCCTCTTCCCCCTCACAAACCATGTACTGGTTATTGTTAGCAAATGCTTCGGTTTTTAAAAATGCATTACCAGTTTTATAAACAGAAGTATTAATTTCCTTCCAGAACCCACATTCCTCTCAATGGAAGGATCCGGCCTTAAGTCAACTTATTTGTTTTTGCCGGGAAAGCCGATACATGGATCAGTGGGTGCCGGTGATTAACCTCCCTGAACGGTGATGGCTTCCCACTGAAAGTAACTGAGCCCAGTTGCACTGAAGTTTTGAAATACCTTTGTAGTTACTCAAGCTAACTCCCTACACTGATGCAAGGATTACAGAAATTGATGTCCAGTAGGCCGACTGAGTCCAACTACAGGTTCTTGGGGACCGGAGATTGATGACTTTGCGGAAGGAAAGAGAAGAGAATGAAGAGACAGAAGCTGTTTGAAAACAAGCGAAAGTCAAAAGGAACAAAAAAAAATTTTTTTTGGCAAAGAACCACGCAGGAAGGGGGAAAAATGTATTCATTTAGGATGGTTGAGTTACATTGAGATAAACCAAATGTGCATTGTTGAAGTTAAATGTACAGCAGTAGTTTGGGTATTTTTTGGTTTATATGCCCTTAAAATGAAAGAGCAAAGGGGTTAATTATATTTTAAAAACCATATTTTATTGTATTTTGATGGGATGTTTAAATTCTTGGAGTTTTATTATGAATTGTACTAAGTTATTTTATGACATGAAAGGTTATTTATGCTATAAATTTTTGGAATACAATACCGGCAATAAACTGATAATAGAGTAATTGCACTTGGTTTTTATTTACTGGAATTATTTGTTGGGGGAGGGAGAAAGCCCAACTCAGCTCCTCCCCTGCCCAAGCCCCAACCCCCGGGGAAGAAGGGGGGAGGGCTGTATCTTTGCAAACGTAGCTAAGGACGGGACTTCCGGCTCTAGTTCTGAGCTTAATCTTGCCGGTTGCAGGGTTGGCTTATCTCGGGAACATTAGGGCCCGGGTGGCCTGGCAAAGATTTCTGGGATTTCTGGGGCCCTGCAGCAGCTGTCTCCAGAGCAGTGGCCCTCCTCCCTTGCAGCTGTGTGCATGGGATAGAGGGGATTTGGTGGGGAGCAGAAAGGAGGAAGGCCAGAATTGGTATGGTTGAAGTCCCCAAATCTCCACTTGACTCTGGGCTGCGGGATGGAGGTGAGCTTGTCCAAACTGATGAAAATGGGTACCTAGTGAGGCTCTCTGAATTAGTCGGAGGGTGGATGTGACCTTGGGCTACTGTGTACGTTAGCCAGGGGCTGATGTAACCCTGGGGAATAGTAACCCTGCCCAACCAATGGTCTCCTTTTCTCTCAGGAAAAAGCTTATGGGGGAGAAAGAGAAAATGGGGCTCCCTGGCAAACAGCAACTCACCCCCATCCCACCCCTCTGCAACACCAGCAAACACTTGGGCCCTCCCATCCCCCTGGTCCATATGTTTCTACAGTCCACATCTGCTGCTAGTGCTGGCTTTCTTCTGTTGATTGTAAACTCAATTAGTACAGGGTCATGCCCGGCACTGGCGCTTGGGGCTATGTTGGTGGTTTCTTGCAGTTTGCTTATTCCCAGGTGATAAGGCCACCAGTAAATAAAGCAGCTGATGTTTTTAACCTACATCTAAATCCAGAAGGTTCCGAGTTTCAATTTGGAAGGCCCTTTCCCCAAGGCGGTGTTCCTAGTTGGGGTGGGGGCAGAATTCTAGCACACTCCAGTGTGGTGCGCTTTTTTGTTTTTATCCAGAGCCCGAGACTTCATGTATTCCAGTGTGGGAACTCATCCACCAGTGCAAATCATCTTCTTGGGATCAGAGACTTTCAGGTGGAAGGGCCCTCAGAGGCTCATTTTGTGGATGAGATGAAGCTAAAGAGAGACAGGCGATGCTGGAACTGAGCTCCTCAGATTCCAAAGCCACTGCCCAGCTTACAGGCTTGGAGAGATGCCCAAGGACCCTAGTGAAATCAAATCAACACTAGTAGGCTAAGTGTGCCAGGCCCTGAGAATACAAAGAAAGGCAAAAGCCACATCTCTGCCCTCCGGGAGTTTACATTCTAATAGGGGAGAAAACAGGCCAACAACTAGATAAGGTATGGACAGTATAAGTGACCTGGCTAAGGTCATATGGCCAGGATATGTCCGAGACAGGCTTTGAACTCCGATCACAATGCAGCACTGACTCCTAACAGGCTTCCTGGAGCTCAGAGGACAGGACAAGTGCAGACTTTCTGAACTGTTGCTTGGAAAAGAGAGTATTTGCCATTTTGGTATCTGGGCTGGTTTGTTTAAGGATTGTCTCAACAATAATACCTTTTTTTTTTTAAAGTTCTGCAACTGTCTTCATTTTTTCTTGTAAGAGCAGAACAGACTCCTGGCAACGCAGAGTAATTGAATCAGACCAGTTGGTTGTAAACATGTCCACAATGCCCTCGAAGGGCTCCACCTTCAGTTGCTGGTTTGGCCATGAAAGGTTGCCTATCTTTTTCAGCTGTCACTCTGAAAACCATTCCATAAAACTAAAACGCATTCCAGGCACTTAGGCCCTCCCCCTTTTAAATCTTGCTGTAATGAAGGCTGTAAACCCAATCCCTACCCCTACCTGGATTCCTTATAGTGCAGAAAATGCCAAGAAGATTGAGGTTAGTCCTAAGGCCCTTTCTCCTGGAGTGTGACAAAGTGTTAATACTGTGAGTTAATCTCATTCTATTTCTATGGGATGCAGTCCAAAACCATTCGTTAATTAGAGCACCAAAAAAGGGAGAGTGTCTGCCTTCTGGGAGTCCCTGCTAAATGCAGGGTTTCCCAAGTAAAGACAAATAGCGCATCACATCACTGGTCCTGGGCTTTGGGTACTGCCATTTGGAAACGTTTCTCCAGCTTGGTTTGAGAAGACGTTACTGTAAATATAACCCTCGGGAAAAGCACGTTCCTAAATCTTAGATCACGTGGGCAAAAGTCTGGGTTTGCTTGAAGCTGATGTAGCCCTTGTCCTGGGCTTAGCTTCGAATCCTGGTTACAACTGAAGTTTCCTTATCCTCTGATTGCCTTTATAAAAGACAGTTGTGCTATTGGAAAGACTACAGCCCAGGTCTTCATGACCCCATTTGGGGTTTTCTTGGCAAAGATGCTGGAGTAGTTTGCCTTTTCCTTCTCCAGCTCACTTTACAGATGAAGAAACTGAGGCCTACAGAAGTTAAGTGACTTGTCCAGAGTCACATAGACAGTATGATTTGAAATCAGGTCCTCCTGACTCCAGGGCCAGTGCTGTGTCCACTGAGCCACCTACCTGCCCTTGGGTTGCTGGAACTCTTTTGTTAACTGTTAAGGGCTGCAAAGGTACTTCACAAATATTGGGGACAGAAACAGAGGATGCCAAAAGCAAAGTATCTGTCTGAAGAGACCATATAACTTAATTGGAGGAGACAAGTCACCTGTGGCCCCAAAGCATCAGGGAGGGACCTCTGAGGTCATCTAATCCAACCCAGCTCCTCATTTTACAGATGAGGAAACTGAGGCTCAGAGTGGTATAGGCACTTGCCCAAATCTCTTGGTCACACTGGTGGATAGGAAGTGAAAGGGATTTGAGGCCAGGGCCCCTTGGCTCCCAAGTCAGTGTATACTTACATTTTTAAAAAAATTATTTATTCATTTATTCATGGGTGGTGGGTTTCATCTTTGGTCTCTTCAACTAGTCACATTTACACATTACACACAAAAAAGGTGCTTTAGATGATTTCACCATTCAATCAGCCAGCACTTATCATGAGAGTCTTATGGGCTGGACAGTCCTTTTGCTAGTCACTCAAGATGCAAAAAAAGGCCAAAACAGTCCCTGCCCGCAGGGTGCTTCCAGACTTACTCCAAGGGCAGTGACCACCAGTGCATCACCTGGTTGTTACAGAGAAGAGATGGAAGGTAAACTGAGAACGGGAAGGCCCTGAGAGGATGTGAGTCTGGCAGACTGACTGCAGCAGCGAGGCCTTCCCAGGCTAGAGAAGAGCGCTGACTCTGCAGGCCTTTTTAATCTTTCCAGGATTTCTGTCCCAGGTGCTCCAGGCTTCCCTTGGGTTCCTGCCCAGCAGACCTCCCCCGGCTGCTCTGGGAGCCTCCTGCAGCCTCAGGCCTTGCAAACCTGGGACTCCTTGACCTTTCCCTGACAGAAGGGGTCCGCCCCTCCCTCCTTTTTTCATTTTTTGCACATGCAAGAATATAACCGAGCGGTATGGTGATAACAGTCTTAGAAATGCTGACTCTTCCATTTCTTCATTTTAAAAAGAGGGCATTGGACTAGACCAGATGCTGAAGGCCCCTCCCCCTCTAAATCCTTTGATCTTTGTGATCTTTGTTTAATTTGTAAGATTCCGTGTGCACAAGGCCAGCGAGGGGAGGGCTGGGCTCCATTTCCCCCTCTGTGCCTTGCTTGGTGTCTCCCCCTCCCTGGCTCAGGCCCCCTCGTGGCAGCCCGCGGGTCCCTGGTGGCCCTGCAGAATTTGCCTCCCTTAGGAAGCCACTGGCAAGGCTGGCAGGAGAGACCAATCCCCCCCAATCCCAGCTACTTGCCACCCTCCAGGTAGAACAAAGGCTGTGTACGGTTTCCAGCCTCCTGGAATGTGCATTTCTTTGCTGGGGGTGCACCAGGATGAACGGGAAGCCTGATTTGTACTAGGTGGGTGGGTGGGGGGCTGCTCTCCTTGCCCAAGCTGCTCCTGCAGGGCTTGGGGGCCCAGAGAAGGAGGGGGAATCCCCCCAGGGCACGGCAGGGCCCCGGCGGAAATCCAGCGGTGGGGGGTTTACTATGTGCCTGGCATCACTGAGCTTGGCCAGGAGGGGGAAGCCAGGAAGCCCAGGGAGCCTACCAATCTTAGCCTGAGGGAGAGGGAAGCTTACCCAATCTAATCTAGTCCAGATAAGGGGCTCTGGGCCGGAGGAAGGCTGGTGGGGAGGCAGGTTTCCTTTCAGCTTTGCTCTGTCACAAAGTGTTGGAGACAGTTTGTGAAATGTAAGAAATCAGGCTGTTGTCATTGGAGACTTGGGGCTCTCAGGTCTCATCACAGAGGCCAACGACTGCCCCTCATTTTATAGAGGAAGCAGCTGGGGCTCAGCTCAAGAGAAAGAGACTTGCTCTGTGCCTCACTTTCCTCTTCCGTGAAATAGGGATCATAACAACATTTACCTCAAAGGAGACCATCTTTGTAAAGCGCTTTGCAATCCTTAAAACACCAGGGAAATGTGAGCTATTGCTATTGATGCCCAAGGTCTCCCAGGGTGTAAGTGCCGCAGCAGGCTCTGAACCCAGGGCTTCAGCACCAAATCCACGATCTCCTACCAAACTGTCAACACCTCTTGGGTCTAAGACAAAGCCTTCCTCAAACCTTCTGCATCATCGGCTCTTTGAGAGTACAGACTATCTCCGACACCTAGTGGGCATTTATTAAACGCCTTCTGACTGACTGCTGGACCACACTAGGGAGCTCAGAGATGTGCCAGCCTTGGAGGAGGAAGGCAAAGCCCACCAACAGTCCTGCAGCCTCCCCCAAGTGGACTCTTGGCCCTTGGGCTGATCCTCCTTTGTTTCCTTCAGTCTCCCGATAAGCTGAGGAGGTAGGTGCTGTTACTAGCCCCATGCTACAGATGAGGAAAGCAAGGCTTAGGGACTGGGTGATGAGGTGGCCGCCCAGTGTAGGGCAGAGGTAAGTAAGATTCACTGCGAGGTCTCTCCTGGCTCCAAGGCTGATGCTTTTCTTCCCTTGGCAGCTCTCCCTCTGGTGAC